AAGTTAAGGATCTTATGACCCTTACATGATTGAATAAGAATTGAGGAACTTCTTGTCCTCCATTAGTTCTATAAGAATTGAAATTCTTGAGTATCTCACTTTACCTCATAAAGATTGGAAACATGAAATATCACGTTGATATTGATCTTTACTCTTAACAAAAATCTTGAATTTCTGACAAATAACAAAATACAGTTGAAATCTTGTAAGTAGATAGACAAGATAGATATCTATAATAAAAATGCTAATTTCTTTGTAAAATATCAAATTTCATATGCACTAGATATGTAAATGAAAAAAAATATATAAATTTGGAGGTTGACACAATTAGAACTTTAGGTTCTAGAATTTACCTATTTTAATGCATATGTGGCCGAAACTTATAGTTTGGATTAGACAAAATAAGAACTTCGGGTTCTAAGATATTTGAACTTCGGGTCATATGAGGAACTTCAGGTCCTTAAATATAAATTATTGAAATGAAAACAAATAACTGAATATAACAATAAAAATAAAATAATAATTAAAATACTGGAACAAAATAAATTGTTGGAACTTCTGGTTCCAAGTTAGAGAAAAATCAGAGAACTCCAAGTCTTGATTTACTTTTTGAGAATTGCAGAACTCCAAGTCCTTATATAGATATTATATGGATTGAGAACTAAGAGACTTCGGGTCTTTCTTTAATTATATAATTTAGAGACTTCGGGTCCTTGCATAAAATAAAAATAACACTAAAGAAAAGAACTAAGTAAAAATAAAATACAACAAAAATTAAAATATTGTAATAAAATAAATTGTTGAAACTTCTAGTTCCAACAAAAAATGAATCCAAGAGCTTCAGGTCTTCATTTGCCTTTTAAGAATTGGGGAACTTCAAGTCCACAAATATTTATATTATAAGGATTGAAATATGAGGATCTTCTGGCCCTTATATGATTGAATAAGAACTGAGGAACTTCTTGTCCTCCATTAGTTATATAAGAATTGAAATTCTTGAGTATCACACTTTACCTCATAAAGATTGGTGACATGAAATATCACGTTGATATTGATCTTTACTCTTAACAAAAATCTTGAATTTCTGACAAATAACAAAATACAGTTGAAATCTTGTAAGTAGACAAGATAGATATCTATAATAAAAATGCTAATTTCTTTGTAAAATATCAAATTTCATATGCACTAGATATGTAAATGAAAATAAAAATAAAATAACTCTTATCTCTTTGGAATCTTGTTGTTCAGCTTCCTTTTGTTGATGCACTTCTTTCCATTTGATAAGCCTATGTAACAAGAGCTTTCATAATTGAGATGAAACTGTGCTACCTCAAGTGGTTAGAGACTCGTGCTGATAACGTGTTATATAACTAAGGGAAAATTGTAGAGAGAATTGGAAAGTAGAGAAAGACAATACAAATTGTTCAATCAACTTGTCTATCTCATTTTGATAAGACCTCTTATTTATAGGCTTACAATGGTAAGAAGACATTAACAACTCATAAGTTACAAGCCCATAACTATGGTATTATTAGTGTATAGGTTACATAGAGTTAGAAAGGGTGAATGCTAAGAGGTATGGTGGTCATCCACCAACTCATGCATTTACAACACCAACAAGTTTTATCACTCATTCTTCCATTTATGGTCATCCTGTTAAATTTCAAATAAACAACGACCTACTACTAACACTGATATTGTCATCAACTTAACTATTTGCAAAATTCAATAAATGTGAGATTTTATCACAAAAGATCTCGGTATATTTACTAGTGAAACCACTCATTATACATTGTATTTATTTTTGTCAAATTTCCAATGTAGAACATTAGATTCTTCAACGAGTACCACATCACAATATGTCAAATGCTAGCTATATAGCCAAGCAGAGTTTTTCCTGATATGCTGGAGACGTTTTGCCTCAGTGCCCGACATTGGTGACATGAAATATCACGTTGATATTGATCTTTACTCTTAACAAAAATCTTGAATTTCTGACAAATAACAAAATACAGTTGAAATCTTGTAAGTAGACAAGATAGATATCTATAATAAAAATGCTAATTTCTTTGTAAAATATCAAATTTCATATGCACTAGATATGTAAATGAAAATAAAAATAAAATACTTTTTTTCAATTTTTTCCAAACGAAATGACATTATTGGATTCCTTAGTTTGTACATGGTGTGCACATCAAATATTGCTACTCATGTTAAGGAAAAATTAAACTATTAAGCATGTTCCTCTACAATGTCCAAGGGGGGCTCAAAATTTTTGTACATATGATATAATTGTTTACGAGTGATTTTTTTAGAGTCCAATAACACAAGGGCCCAAATAAAAATCACTTCAAGTTCTATAATAACAATTACAATTGAATGTTAAAAACTTATTAATTTGCTTTAAAACAACAAACATCCAATTAATCTAACATTTCCTTCAAGAAAACTAGTTATTCTATTCTGATATTTTTTTTGTTGCCAATGATTTTTGGTTTTAGAAAGGGTGAATGCTAAGAGGTATGGTGGTCATCCACCAACTCATGCATTTACAACACCAACAAGTTTTATCACTCATTCTTCCATTTCTGGTCATCCTGTTAAATTTCAAATAAACGACGACCTACTACTAACACCGATATTGTCATCAACTTAACCATTTGCAAAGTTCAATAAGTATGAGATTTTATCACAAAAGATCTCGGTACATTTACTAGTGAAACCACTCATTATACATTGTATTTATTTTTGTCAAATTTCCAATGTAGAACATTAGATTCTTCAACAAGTACCACATCACAATATGTCAAATGCTAGCTATAAAGCCAAGCAGAGTTTTTCCTGATATGCTGGAGGCGTTTTGCCTCAGTGCCCGACAGTGAACCCAAGAAAGATGCCCCTTTTCAAAAATTGGGTTTGATGGTATGACATTTTCCGAAGAGGGGAACAGGCGGGCATAGTAATCAATTGCCCAAACAAAACTAGTGGGCATAGTAATGCTCTCTATAATTTCTACACGGACAATGTCACATTTTTCGGACTTTTTTTCAATTTTTTCCAAACGAAATGACATTATTGGATTCCTTAGTTTGTACATGGTGTGCACATCAAATATTGCTACTCATGTTAAGGAAAAATTAAACTATTAAGCATGTTCCTCTACAATGTCCAAGGGGGGCTCAAAATTTTTGTACATATGATATAATTGTTTACGAGTGATTTTTTTAGAGTCCAATAACACAAGGGCCCAAATAAAAATCACTTCAAGTTCTATAATAACAATTACAATTGAATGTTAAAAACTTATTAATTTGCTTTAAAACAACAAACATCCAATTAATCTAACATTTCCTTCAAGAAAACTAGTTATTCTATTCTGATATTTTTTTTGTTGCCAATGATTTTTGGTTTTTTTAATTTGGTTTTATAAATATTTTATTATTCATGTAGTTTTGTTATTTTAGTTTAATAGAACTACTACTTAAGCCAGAAATAAAATACATGTGAAGAAAATTTTTATTTTTCTTACTTCTTGAACTATGATTGTATACAAAGTGAAAGGGACTCATTCTAATTTCTAGCCCCAGGCCACTCAAAAGATAGAGTTGTCTTTAGTAACGATGCTTCTTTGAACACCCAAAAATTGTTTCTTAACACTATTTTTTATTATTAGAAACATATTCATGCTCAAGATTTATAAGTCTCAGGATGCCGCCAACTAAAATTTATGACCATACCAAAAAGAGGGGAGTGATTTCTAAGTGCTTCTATGAAATAATCGTAAAAATACATCAACATGAAACATATCTCTAGGGAAGTCACCTTAGCACACTTAAAACATTTAGGTATGCCTTGAAATACTTCACATATTTGGTATCTTCGCCTCGAAATACTTCATATTTAGGTATGAAGTGAAATACTTTATATTTAGATATATCATGAAGGAAGGAAGTTGAGAGTTTCACTCCAATTAGCAATGGGGGAGTAGCACAACTTTTTATATTAAGGTTTGTTATTTTTTCAATGTGGGACAATTTCACATTTACATTCTCACATACCAACTCCGATGACACATAATATTTGCCATGTGTTGTCCCCGCAGTGGCATGTGGCAAGTAGAGGATGGTATCCAACACAATTTCTATGATAAGGGTAAAATGGAGTTTTTGCCTTTTCATAAATTCAACAAGTTAACTTGTTACCCGAAACTAATGAAATATAAAATCTCATTGACCAAACTTGAAAATAGAAATATACATAAAGTATACTCTCTAATATTAAAGAAGTATTATTGACCAAACACCAATTAATCTAATTCATAAACACAATTAATTTCACTATAGAATATTGGGCAAATAATAAAATAATATATCCTGATAATTCACCTTGGTTTCCGAACCCATTTCCTTATTCAAGAACACGTCCCTTCCTTCTATGAATTTTCGAATTTAGTATTGGAAGTGCAAAACGACAAGCGTGCCAATTAATCATCCTGCTAGCCAAGCATTGTTCAATTTAAATACAAACATACATGCACGCACGCACTAAACCCACCACAGAAACATACAAACAAACATATCAGAAAAAGATCCATCTCTTTCTCTGATATCAAATCATCCCCAACCCAACACCAAAAACACAGCTCAGACCAGACACAAAATTCGCTTAACCACCACCTTTTTCTAATGCATATCATGTGAGTGATATGAAGTCCAAGTATATATATATATATATATATATCAACTGTATTTCAAGAGAAAGAAGATATAAAATCACATGGTCGTACATTTTAAAAGTTGTAAATTACATAAAAGTCACTAAGCTAGCATTCACTTTTGTCGCAACTTGCAATTCAATTGCCTAAATCTATATATCTCTCACCAACAATCTTTTTTTTTTTTTTTTTTTTTTCTTTTTGATGTTTCATATTCTAAGCAAGAAAATACTGAGTTCAGGACCTCCATTGCCTTCTGGGTTCAACATGTAAAAGGCCTCCGAGTCACGGCTTCCCACAACTCTTTCAAACCTAGCCCTCATGTAAAGCAACTCGCCTTCTGAAGCGCTACCCTTTTTCCCGTCATCCACCACTGGAATCACGCCTGCTCCAACTGACACGCTCCGAACAGTAGTCAACACGTGCCAGTCGGACTCCCCGCACGTACGAGACACTGCGTAGCCGCACTTCCTCCCGTTGCAATACATGGTCCAAGAAGGCTCCTGAAACAGTTTCCTACCGTGGATACCCGTACGGCCGGAACCATGATGCCTTTCGGACTCGAGCGCAATGCGGACAAGTCCGGAAGACATCTCCTTGACGAGTGAAGATGTTGACATGGCAAGCTCGAGAAGCAAAACGGGCTCCGACCTGGGATCCAGCTGGACGGCGAAGCTCACGCACTAAACCCACCACAGAAACATACAAACAAACATATCAGAAAAAGATCCATCTCTTTCTCTGATATCAAATCATCCCCAACCCAACACCAAAAACACAGCTCAGACCAGACACAAAATTCGCTTAACCACCACCTTTTTCTAATGCATATCATGTGAGTGATATGAAGTCCAAGTATATATATATATATATATATATCAACTGTATTTCAAGAGAAAGAAGATATAAAATCACATGGTCGTACATTTTAAAAGTTGTAAATTACATAAAAGTCACTAAGCTAGCATTCACTTTTGTCGCAACTTGCAATTCAATTGCCTAAATCTATATATCTCTCACCAACAATCTTTTTTTTTTTTTTTTTTTTTTCTTTTTGATGTTTCATATTCTAAGCAAGAAAATACTGAGTTCAGGACCTCCATTGCCTTCTGGGTTCAACATGTAAAAGGCCTCCGAGTCACGGCTTCCCACAACTCTTTCAAACCTAGCCCTCATGTAAAGCAACTCGCCTTCTGAAGCGCTACCCTTTTTCCCGTCATCCACCACTGGAATCACGCCTGCTCCAACTGACACGCTCCGAACAGTAGTCAACACGTGCCAGTCGGACTCCCCGCACGTACGAGACACTGCGTAGCCGCACTTCCTCCCGTTGCAATACATGGTCCAAGAAGGCTCCTGAAACAGTTTCCTACCGTGGATACCCGTACGGCCGGAACCATGATGCCTTTCGGACTCGAGCGCAATGCGGACAAGTCCGGAAGACATCTCCTTGACGAGTGAAGATGTTGACATGGCAAGCTCGAGAAGCAAAACGGGCTCCGACCTGGGATCCAGCTGGACGGCGAAGCTGACATGACCACGGCGGTTCCCGAAGAGCGTCCCGGTGACTTTTCTGCCCAGGGAGGGAGTGATGGAGAGGCCGGAGGGAATGGCAAGCCACTTGCAAGTTGGGATAATGGTGGGGAAGGAGAGGAAGCTGAGAAAAGAGCGGAGGAGTGAGGTGAGCTTGGTTTGGGTTTTGGAGATGTGGTGGATGGAGACTGGAGAGTGCTGCTTCGGAATCAAGAAGTTGTTGGAGACGTCGTCGTTTTGATGATGATGATGATGATGATGATCAAGTGGGAGAGTGGACGATGAGGATCTGAAGTGGTTTGATGGGATGATCTTTCTTGATGAGCTTCTTGCGATGGAAGTAGTGCTGGTGCTTCTGTGGAGGCTGAGGTCTTGGTGTTTCATGGTGAAACGAAAACTAAACGAAAATGATACGATCAAAGAAAATGTTGGGTTGGTTTGTATTTTTTTTTTATTTTTTTTCTAATTGTGAAGTATGAACACAAAGAAAATGTACAAGTATTTTTTGTGGCTGATGATTCTGAATTTGCAGAAAGAGGAGAGGGCGTGGGTTTCTCTGTTGATAGAAGATAGAGAAATGGAATTAAAGAGGCCGACAAGTGATGATAGTGTTGGGAGGTGGCCAATATAAAGGGAGACTATGGAGGCTTGTGGTGATGATGATTTCATCCAAGACCTTTTATATTGTGTGCTCAAGACCTCATATGGTCCTACAAACCACCACATTATATATGCCACACCACTTTTCATCTACCTGCTTTTTTTATGGGTAATGCTAGGCTTACCACATTTTTCATACCACATTCATACCACCTCTCTAATAGAGGTGGAGCCCACCAATACAATGGGGCCCACCTCTATTAGAGAGATGGTATAAATGTGGTATGAAAAATGTGGTAAGCCTAGCATTTTCCTTTTTTTATATTGAAAATTACTTTTAATTTCCTAATTTTCTTATTAGTATATAACACTTTTTTTAATATAAGCGCTAATGCAGAATGAGAGATTCGAACACATAACTTCGGGTACACAGAATTTCAGAGTTATCTATATTTGTTGCAACCAAAGAGAAAAAATTAGGTCAATAAGCTCATGGATGGATTTGAGTGGTGTCATGATCTTTCTTGATCAGATTCCAAACTATTGTTGTGACCACCATAACGTTTTACGATTTCATGATCATGTACGTTGACCGTTGGATTAAAATCATGAAGAATAAGTGGTTGAGATATGAGTTGATTAAAAATGAAAACAAAAAGTGGTTGAGATATGAGTGAGACAATATTGTTTAGACTTAAACCGCAGTAAAGAGATATATGCTCGTCGATTCCACTCCATTTTTGAATGAAGTGGTAGTGGTCCAAGTTCATGGGACGGTTGCCCTAAACCACAAAATAGAGGCCTTGTATTAATACGGGAGATTTTCTAAATCCTGTCATCATTCTAGGGAGAGTTTTCGGTGAAAAAGCAACTTCTATTATTTGCAATGCATCTTATATATGTAATCTTTCTCATTTCTGGTGCACGCCCGTTTTATTACTTTTATATTTTTACTAATCTAGACTGATATCCTATGTAGCACTGATCATACTCTGCCGGGGGTATGCGACTATTAATACTGCTTGGATATGTTGTCAATGGGTTATTTGGAGATTGTGTCTCAATTTATAAAAGACCTAGCTAATTGGTTTTCGTGGCAGAAACATATAAAGATGAGAGGAATAAAGAAGAACTATCAATTTATCATTTAAATTATTTTTTAAACATATACTAATTTAATCACCGTATTTGTATTATAGTTTTTGAAAATTTGTCATTTCGTATCGACATATATGTACCCTTAACCGTACAATATAGTTGATAACTCGATGATCAATAGTAAAGAAATTACATATGTTAGACCGAAGTTAAAATTTAAAGAATTTTCACTAATGAGGGCCTAATGACGCAAAACAAACAAAAAAATGACATATAGCAAATTGTGTGTTAGGTCAATTGGCCAAGGCAATGTACATGTCCTTTGCATCCGAGTTCGATACCCCTCCTTGCACATTAGATTAATTTAGAATATCGATTTGTAAAAAAACAATAATAAAAAAGGCATGTTGAATATTTAATGCATTATATTAGTTGGATGAAACTTTAGTTTTAATATATTCAATTTTTTTTTTGGGCCATAAAATCACCAATCATTAAAAGCTCTAGTTTTATGTATACCTTTACCATGAGGTTCCACACTCTTCTTTGATCTGTTTTAGGGCCGGGGCCCGGGTGTGCCTCAACCTGAGGGAAAGATGCGATGAGAAGAGAAGAAAGAGGTATGGAGTTCGCAAATCAGCTCTAATTGTGAATAGGAAATATTAAAAATATGTTCTCCATTATCTCTCCTTAATATTGCTTAACATCCTCTCTCTCTCTCTCTCTCTCTCTCTCTCTCTCTCTCTCTCTCCCCAATATTTGGCCTCCCTCCTCTACTATACTATATATAATATATATTATATATTATATACACTTAATAATCAACAACTTGTAATTTAAGTTAATGGTCTCTCTAAAATAAATTAGACATGATTAAGTTTGAAGTATTTAACTCTAACATGTAAGTTTTAAATCATATGTATTTGATATACATTATTTTCTATTTCGGCCCCCAATCTTACAATTCTAGCTCTGCCATTGTCAAACGACGTAAGAGCATCCGCAATGATGCTCTCTATTTCTTAGCTAAAATTTAGCTAAAAATATAATAAAGCTATTTTAGGAGCTCTCTAAAAAATTTCAACTCCAACCATACTTCCTAATTTGGAGAGTCATAAATGCTATAACTCTTTTTTGATTGGTCCATCGCTATTAAAAAATAAAATAAAAAATAGTTAGCATTAAATAAAGATTTGAAATACTCATTAAATCAGGCAGCATTAAATTATAGGGAGCCACTAGGAGTCCTTTTTCTCTCCTCAGATTTAGGAGCTCCTAGAGGACTCCCTATTTTAGGAGGTGGATAGGGAGCATGGTTGGAGTTGTATTTTTACAATGCCTCCCTAAAATTTATCTAAGGAGGTGGTTTAGGGAGCCCATTACGTATGCTCTAAACACCCTAACCCACATTTCAACAAGCACCAGAACCAATAGAACTTATAGAAGCATTGGTTTTTTTTATTTTTTTTTAATTAAAAAACTTATCTTGTATTTGTCTAATCAATACATGCGATAAGCATTGGGGAGTTGACCCAACACAAGGGCGTGATGAGAGACTGGGAAGTTTTTTACTGCCTGAAAGTGACGTGAGGGTGACGCGCATGATAGGGAAAGTCGATCCAAATTATGTCGTATGAGAAAGGCCAACTTGTCCCCATCAATTTGGAAGCCTCACAAATAATGCTTTTTTTTTAATCTCTAAATTACTTTTTGCTCAATACATGCTTTTCTATAATTAATCATCATTACCATAATTAAATATATTAAGCAGTTAAAATATTGTATTGAACATTTTGGACGGTTCCAAACTGAGAATGGGTTGCCCCATGACCAATAGATTGGTGGCCTAAACATTGTGTTTTTTAGAGCTCCTAGAGCATCCACAATAGAGGGGTGTATATGGGGTGTATGTTAAATATATACCCCGAGTCACCGGAATCGTCTCCAATGGTGAGATGTAAATGGATGTAAATATACATCACCACTATGGGGATGTAAAATAAAATGTATATTTACATCCCTTGCAGGCGGGACCCACCCGAGAAAAGAGAAGAAAAGTCAACATAAAAGGCTGGGACCCACAGTTACACCCCCGAATTTACACCCCCCACTGGAGCAAAAAACATATTTACACCCCCCGGAGGTGTAAAGGGGATGTAAAAGTGGCTTTACACCCCCGAATTTACACCCCCCCCACTGTGGATGCTCTTAGTGTCACGAAGAGTTCAATGTGGACAGAATCAGCCTTATAACATTATTCATCTCATACATCAGCATGAAAATAATTGTGTATGTTTGAGAATTTAGAATACTTTTATAATTGAACATCTCAAATCTCATTAAGTCGTTTTGAATATGAAAAGAAAAATATACAATTATATAGGACCCAGAGTTGGCCAACCTGCGAAACAAATTCTACATTAGTAACTATTTTTTTTAAAAAAAAATTATTTAATTAGGGTTTGTTTGATTTGGGTTCAATTCGGGGTTTTGTTTGGTTTTGGTTAGTTGGGTATGATCGGTTTTATACAAAAGGTCTCGATACTATTAGTAGTGTAACCTTTCATTATATAATGCATTTTATTTGTCAAATTTTCAATGTGGGACTCTATATTGTTCAGCACGCCCCCTCATGGGATCACCACATAGTAGACTTTGTAGGTGATATAAGTTGGGGAAAATATCGATGTTAGTAGTGGGCCACATCCTTATAAAACCTTAACATATCAAAGTGGGTTTGCCCATGTGTGAAACCTAATGGCCACATGTGCTTCATGTTACCCAATATGTATTAAGAAACCTAGTAACGTACGGCTTATAGTTGAGCTACTCCCCCTATTACCAATTGGTTTTGGGATTGAACCTCAACTTTCTTCAAGTTGGACCTCAGTTCAGACACGACAGCTTGCCAAACACTCACTTGGCCAAAAGGAAAAAAAATTACTTGTAAAAGGGATAGTACTGTTTTGCTATCCCCACCAATAATACCAGGATACATAAAAAAGTAGTATCATATTTAAGGAGGGGAGAGATCCTATGTGTGAGATATTTTGATTGTAGCTTACACATTATTTCACAAAAATATCTTTTGGTGTTGAGTTTGAATATACTTTGGTTATATTCGTGAATATTTTTTTTCAAATATTTGAGAAAAAGAAAAATGACTAGTTCCAAGAAGGGAGCTAATGAGATAGAAGACCACCGATGCGTCTAACTTAATGAAGTTAATTTGAGTTGTGGCAACGAAAATATTGGTGCATAATCCTCAATCATATCTAAGAACTTCAACTGATTTTGTATGAATTTCCCTAATATATAATTTGTGTTTAAGCTTAAATTTATGGTCCTTTGACATCGATATGACACTAGTCGAACCCAAGACCTGTTGAGCTTTCAATGTAACACAAAGCCAATAAGTCACAAGGGATACTAGTGTTTTTTATTATAGAGAAAATGGTATTGCATTCAACCCAAAGAGAACATTACATGGAGAATAACATAGGTCAATATGAAGACCAGTAGACAAGGCTGGCAAGGCTCAGCCTAGGAAGGAAATAATACAGTTGTTTGCTGGCTTTGCTATGTAACCAAAGAAAACACAAGTCTCATACTCGCAACCCTCTTTGCCTTTTCCCATGCAATGTAAGCTTTGATGAATCTTTATACATCTATAATTAATCAAAAAATAACACACTAACTTATCTGTATATGTAGCTGTGATAAACCAAAAAAACAAACAAAACAAAAGATTTAACTGATCAAAAAAATTTTGGTAACAAAACTACCAAAAAAAGATCAAAAATCTAAAAACAAGTCTTCAATGTGAGACCACTTGACTCCCTGAATCATTAGAATTTCCTTCAATTTTAGCTGCCTTCCTCTTTTGATGATAAGCATCTGATGATGACAACCTGAGAAAACCAATTGATTGTTAGATAATTATGTCATCTTCTGTTACTTATATATTATCTTTTGTTTTCCGTCTACGTAGATTTGGCGAAGAATTAGGTTTAGTAAAAAGTTAATATTGCAATATTCAGAAACAAATTTTTGGAGAAAATGGAAATTGGTGGAGAATTTGTAGCGTACCCCAAGTGCAAATAAGTGTCTGGTTCATAACTCGAAACGGCTTTTGAGCTCTCTAATGGATGATCGGATGCGGGGACAATTTGCCAATTTGGCTTGTGGGTTTGCCGCATCTCCTCAAGCTATGTATATATCATAAATTTAATTAGAGAGAGGTTCAGATTTTGGTATAAATCTTATATATCTGGATGAAGTTTAATGCTCACCTGTTTGCGTAGATTCTCATTTTCCTCCACAGCCCTTTGCTCCTGAGAATAACACCATTTATATATAAATTAAAAACAATACAAAAAGCTTATCTAGAAAGGGAAAAATCTGGATCCTTAATTAATTTCTTCTTCGTCGGTGGCTCACGTTCGTTTAAGCCGCGGGTGTATCAGTGACTTAAATGGAAGTTTTCTAGTAGTGTATAACAAAGATGGTGAGTTTATTACCAGTAATCTGGAGCTCTTTAGCGTCTCCAAAAGTATTTCCTCCTGCAATAGTATAAAGACTCATGAGCAAAGGCCTAAGAAACCAAATACTTAAAAATGTCTTTCGAAAAAAAATTTATATATATATGCATCACCTTCTTTTGCTTCACAAATAAGACCCCTTCACGTAGTTGTTCCTCCAGTTGGTGCAGCTCTTTATAACTCAAGCCGTGCAACTCCTTAACCGTCATCCGCCTGCACAAGTAGAAATAACAGAAGCTAAGAATTTAATAAAAGGAAAAGAAAATGTTAAACACTTCCTTTTACTAATGGAACATACTTCTCTAAGAATCAATTTTAGATCTACTGTGATTAGGCCTAATCGACTCGTATAATTAATCGTATCAAATTACTCAAAATTCACTCAACAAGATATCCGCAACCAGCAGAATGACTTACATGCATGCCAAGCGTAGTGTTGCAATCTCATTCTGCAGTCCATTTACATCACGGTTCGGCTCCCCCTTTCTTTTCTGGGCAAAGTTCGGCTCCTGTTTGTTGAACATGAGATTGTAAGACACTCCTATTCATAAAGAAGCTGGGCAAACATGCAATTTCCTTATATAGCTCTTCTAGCTTCTATGTTAGGAAAATTGAATATTGGTTAGATCGATTCATGGGGTTCGAACTCGAGACCACCACTTGTCTACAAATCAAGGTCCTTTTCCACTGAGCTATAACCCGTTGACATAACATATTTGTATTTTAAAAAACGTATTTGTATTTAGAAATATATATGACGTACCTTTGTTGCAGGTTCACTTGAGCGTTCTTGTGGGTAATCTATTACGCCACCCTTTTTGTATCTTGAAAGAGTGTGTGGCATGCTACATAAATAGAAGAGGAGGTAAGTTTTAATTTAAAACAAAAAAGAATAATATATATTAATTTAATAATGCCACCTATAAAATTGAGTGACAACTAAAAAAAAATGTAACTGGCCCATTGGCCCATTGTTAGCTTAGGGTTGTAAGTTGTGAGGTTTGTAAATTGTATATGAACATAGTAATTTATTTACGTACACGATTTCTATTTGTCCACAAACTCTTTGACCAAACCGTCTTCTACTAGAATAGGGTTTCTACTCTTGGTGACTTACCAATTTCAGTAAATTTCGTCCTTTTACGTTATCTTTCATCCTCCAAAACCAATCTTTTCTAATTTCAGTAGAAACTTTCCAATTTTCCAATTTGTGTGTGTTTGAAAACTTTTTTCGAATTACCAAAACTACTTTTTGTGGAGTTTGGTTGAATTAGACAAAAGCAATTTTTAAGAATCGAGAGTACTTTGTTACGAATTGATCCGGAAAATTTCAAGTTTAAGAGTAATCAAATTTGAAATTAAAGATTTTAACGAGACCACTTTGTAGCACTTAAAGAGGCGGCCAGGACCTATTTTTGTATTGATGTTGTTTTCTGTTTGAATGAAAGTTCTTGATTTGATAAAAAAAGTTTGAAATTTACTTGACTCCTAATCATCATCCGCATGAATACATAAAATAAAAATAAATAAAAAGGATTCATAGCGAAGATTGAAAAGAAAGAAGAAAAGGAAAAAACTCGAAGGCGTTTAGGTTTGACTAGCATCGTAAACGTGATTATAATCAGAATAACAAAAAAACCGAAAAAGGGAAAAAGCAAAGAAAGTTAAAAAGAAGCTAATGAACAAACCTGGTGCTTGAGAATTCATAAAGCCTTCCGGTGCTGGCGAAAACAATGACAGCAACCTCTGCATCACAAAGAACTGACAATTCTTTGGCCTTCTTGAGCAACCCGTTACGGCGTTTCGTGAAGGTGACTTGCCTGCTATTCACATTTTCAATCTTCTTAATCTCAATCCTTCCTCTCCCCATAGTTTTTCTGGTGTCTGCGTTGTTTTCTGTATTCATTGAGACAGAGAAAATAGAGACTCAAAGTAATAGAATAATAGAGAGAACAAAAGTGTATCTGTGGCTATATTATGCAATTACTAGGTTACTTATATAAATAGGGATTTTGTAAAGTCTCAGGAAGGAAAGTTAAACAGAATTAGGATATTGTTATTTGGTAAATTTTTTGGTCGAAAATTATTTGGTAAATGGAATCCTAAAGGTGGCAAACGTCCAAAAAAGGCATGCATTATCCTTGCCATAGAAGAAATACTTCTTTCTTCTTCTTTTTTATCCTTCTTTTTTCTTCTTTTACTTGGGGAGTAAGTCATATTGTTATTGCTACTTCCGGAATTTTTTCTTCTTTTACTTGGGGAGTAAGTCATATTGTTATTGCTACTTCCGGAATGTTTCCCGAGAAGTGTTTCGAGATATAATGGAATTTGTTGCACGGATATCCTTTCCCTTTTATGAGATAATATTGGACGCATATCAAATACAATATTATGTGATTATCAAAAACAATTATATTATTTGTTCTGTTTTTTTTCTTTTGGCATGGGTCACATGTTGCGTAGATACAGCTGCACCAAAATGGATTAAGCTGCATCCTCAACTTGTGATACTCGCAAGTGCACGAGCCGTTCGGTAGTATAGCGTATGTAAGTGCGAGGTCGATCCCACGAGGATTGGTGATTGAATGATCCCATTCATTTCTCCTACACAAAACAGAAATGAAAAAAGGAAATAAATAAAACAAGAAAAAGGAAATACCTTAAGCAAATAAGTTCCCAAGTTCAATTAGATTAACGGATTGATTCTAGCTAAAGTATGATTAAGCCATGGTGTGTGGTCATAACCTTGTGTTCCTAATTCCCTAATTTGATCATTTGTTGTCTAACCTAAAATTAAGCATTAGGAACCCATTAAGCATAGAAGAACAATTTAAACAACCAAGCATGTATCTAATCCCTGTTGTCGAATGTCCATACATACTCTTCCTATTCATAGTTCAATTCGAATTAAAGCATGGTGTATACTCTTAATTCAAACCAAGATAGCTAACATGCAAGCCTAAATGGTGATCAATCATTCAAACTAGCATATTAACTTATAAGCATAATGAATAAGAACAAAAACCATAATTGAAACTTGGAAACTAATCAAACTTGAAAACTTAAGAAAAGA